AGAGAGAGAGAGAGAGAGAGAGAGAGAGAGAGAGAGAGAGAGAGAGAGAGAGAGAAATAACCATAAAAACCTAATTCCTATTTACTCCTTAAAACACGTTCTAACAAAAGAAAAAATTACTTAAAGGCCAACTGCATCATTTAGCACAGGCTGGGGAGGAGGAGGAGGAGGTTGACGCATGAAGACGTGTTTCATTATATAATCTCTGCGCCATCAGGCGCTGCATGAGGCGATATTTTATGCATGACTTAAACACCTCCACACAAAGGCTCCCCTTATCGATCATGAAATCAAAACAAAGGCTGGCCACTAGCATCACACCACCCACACCTCCCCGGCTCTAGCAGACCGACGACACCATGCTACACCATATTTCTTAATTATAAGCATATTAATATTTTTAGCGGAGGGTTAAACATACGAAATAAATAAGAAAAAATAAGAGTAGTGATATATACAGACATATGCAACACCAGGGCAATATGCAACACCAGGGAGTTTTTATTTTTCAAAAACGCCTCGCCAACCAGTGTTTTTTTTTTTTTCAATTCAATGTGCTGCACGTGTGTCTAATTCATCAACGTGCTGGTACTGCATACCATTAATGCTGTGACACCAGTATATATACCTAGCCTTGTATATTCACAGAATTATAAATTTGTAGTATTGTACAAAAGTACTTTTACCTATCTCATAAAGCTATTTTTTTTGTACACAAGATTTTTTCATAAGTATGATTAAAAAAATACACCTAATATGGAATATCGCGTGGACAGACCTTCACAGTGCATGCTATTCAATTTCGGATGCAATTTTTCATTTGGAAGAAAAAAATCACAATATGGAGGAGGTTTATAAGGGCTGACTCTACTGTATGATCATCAGATGCCTCAGGTACACCATACCAGGTCTAGGTGGTAATCTGGACCTGTAGTCCGCTGGGTAGTTGATGATGTCGCAAAGGCTCTCGTCTGTTTTGTCCTCGCAGTCGAACCTGAGATCGCAGCGCCGGGCGAAGGGGATACAGACTCCGTCAGAACAAGTGAATTCGGACGTGGTGCAGGGGGAGAGTGTTAACACCCTGGGACCTGGTGCCTGGCCACACACCTCCATCTGGTGGTGTAGGTGTGAGAATGAGTGTGTTAGTAGTGTTGGTGAGGCTAGTAACATTGGTGGGGATGTTGTTGCTGGTTGTGACTTGTGTGGTGTTGGTGATGCTTGTAATGGTGGAGGTGGGGATGTTCGTACTGGTGGTAGTTCTTGTAGTGTTGGTGATGAAAGTGCGCTCTCTCTCTCTCTCTCTCTCTCTCTCTCCCTCTTTATTAAACAAGTTATGTATGCTAAGCATAACAGTTCATTCTAAAGAAACACGAAGTTCACTACAGTTGGAAGATAATTAACATTATAGGTCTGTATACATATGAATCTCTGACAACGTTAAAATTCGCTAAAAGAGCAGAAACAACACAAAATATATTACCTGGGCTTCCAAAACTTTGAAAACACTCTCTCCTCACTTTAGTCTCCCAGGTGAGCCTGCCCATGGGGTACGTGTAGCGAGCGAGAGCAGCAGTGGTACTGACGGCGACGCTGGTGTTGCTGTGGTGGTGGGGAAGGATGGCCATGGTAGTGTTGGTGACAGTGTTGTACCACATCCACCCTCCATCATCCATCTTCTCCACTGCATACTCGCCGAAGCCGAAGAATCCCAGGGGCCTCGCCTCCAGGTTGAAGTAGAACATCCTCTAAAGAATAAAAAAAAGCACAATGACTGTAACAATACACATATAACCCGCACATTATCGAATGATACGTCGTCACAAGTGTCGTTCTTCAATGTGCTGGTTATTTGTGTATAGCACTACATCCTCTAGGTAAACACAAGTAAATCTGTGACGTAAACCCGCTGGTTAGTTGCCATAATCACGGGAAAGCGCTGATCCTCCAAGGATCATAAAGATCCTGTGGAATGGGACTAGGATTTGCTCATGGGAAGATTGGGTATATACTGACCAGACATTGAATACACTGTGAGCAGCTCCCAGCTGTTTTGCAATACTGATTATCTACCAAGAGTCACCTACAACACCCTGAAGCTTAAACCAGTGGGTGGAGTTACCAGGAGGGGTTCTGTACTACCCAATGGTTAGAACAATTTTTAAGGAAAAATAGCTGTCGCAGCTTCGATTTTGAAGACAATCTTCATAATTTAAGACAGTACCTTGTGGGGTACCAACACTCATACCAGTGTGACTTAAGTGGTTTAAAAAACCGACAAGAATGAGACACTTATGCAACATTTGGGAATCTTTATTGAGGAAACATTTCCCCAACCAGTGGCTTCTTCAGTCCAATACAAAGAAGAACGGTGGAAAAAAGAGGAGGAGTTTGAGGTAAGCTGTCCTTCAACCTGGAATCAATGCGTTCTTCCTCATCTTCCATCGTTTTTCTCAGTACTAGACTGAAAAAGCCACTGGCTGGCGAAACGTTTCCTCTAACCTCATACCCCACTAACCCTCTTTTAGAATTATTGGAGGTGCCAACCCCCTTTCTTTGATCTAACCTTAGTGCCTATTATTTCCTAAAAACTGTATAACTCTTTCGGGTTTCATTTTCCCATAAATATAATAATAATAATAATAATAAATAATAATAATAATAATAATAATAATAATAATAATTCTCAATTACTCTTCGATGTATTTTATCATTCTGACTATTGTTGTTTCTGCTTAATTTTATATTACATTCTCATTTATCCATTCCATCTTCCTTTTCTTTTCGCATATTCATTTAGCTTATTCCTTTCGTTTTCTTTCCTTCCTGTCTATCATATTCGCTCTCTCTCTCTCTCTCTCTCTCTCTCTCTCTCTCTCTCTCTCTCTCTCTCTCTCTCTCTCTCTCTCTCTCTCTCTCTCTCTCTCTCTCTCTATCTATCTATCTGTCGTCCTCAAATTATCTTCTTTAACCCTCCATCACCTCCTCGTCCTCACAGATGCCCCTGAGCGTCCAGGTGGAGTCAGCTGGTATGTGACAGGCGGCGCAGCTGTGCTGGTCGCAGCTGGTGTCCTCCAATCCTTCCCAACGCAAACGGTTGCAGTTCTGGTACTTGTCGCCATCTGGGTTGTTGATGCGGAAGAACAGCTGGCTCTACGGAGAGAAGTATTCACTCAAAACTCGCGGGAAGAACAGCTAGACCTTGGGAGAGAAGTGTTCACTCAATACCGTGGGAAGACGAGATATAAACACTTGAAGAGAGTAGTTTGCTCACGTTGTTGAAATAAGCATTGGTGAAAGGGTTGTACCACAGGTTTTCATGGCCCTCGTCAGTCACGGCTGACCACTGCCTCTCACAACCTGCAAGTTAACACGTCCTAGAAAATTATATATATATATATATATATATATATATATATATATATATATATATATATATATATATATATATATATAGTGAAGGTGTGTGTGAGAATAGATAGAAATACAATGTAAAAAGAGACTGCATATTTCGATGTCTGCTTAGGACTTTGTCAGCTTTCCTTTCTTGGATTAAACACATGACCACCATGAGAATGTTTGACCACTTACAGGCTTAGCGCTTACCCATTATTACACTAAATAATGTACCCTTACCGCCGATGCCTTTCAGGTATTCGAACTCCTTGAGCATTCCGTCCGGTGTCGCAGGGTCGTGGATGGCGCCTCTCAGACCCTTGCAGACGTAGACGGCGTCATGGTACCTCAAGAGTGGCAGTGGCACCACTAGGCGTCCTCGGGAGACAGAGCCACACAGCTCTCTCAACGCCACCACCTGCATTAGCCTCAAGCACACTAGTGATCTCCAGGAACATAGGGAAGACAATGCTGGAAAGCATCTGTTAATGTGGTGAGTATTCACTACAGAGCTGTGTCCTCTCCATTTCCCCATTCAGCAATTGGATTAAGAAGGAAATTAGACGGTGACGATAGTTTGTTCGTTAGGAAAGTGCTAGGTGATACCCAGCTCAGTGAATACTGTAAGCAACCGTTGGCGTACCTGTAGTGGGTATCGGTGTTTATGCAACTGTTTTTGTACAGGTGCCGAATATCCTTCATTAAGCAGCTGCTGGATAACTGGGGTAAAACATCCCCTTTACGAGCATCTGCTGGGTTACCGGTGTTGTATCCCCGTGGGTTGGAAATCTTATTCATGGTCCCCGTATCTGCCGAGGGACCATGAATAGGATTTCCAACCCCGTTTAAAGTGATCACCTTATAGTGAATTAAGAAATTAGTGTTACTAACATTTACAACAGAACTGCTCATCATCTATGAACCGGAAGTAGTTATATGGCATAGCCAATGCTAGTCTGAAAATAGCCTAAAAATGTTCATAGATTTTATTACACTAATTAGGAATATTTTTTTTTTCATATTAAACCCCAGACTGACATCCACATCATCAACAACAATTCGTATACCACTCGACTCGTATTTCGTTCATAAATTGATTTACATGTACTCACGAAATCGTAATGACGCGTATTTTTTATTCACGCAGTATTGCATGAAAATATGTAATGGTAAATCATTATTAACAATAGACAGTATCATTGTACCACATCATAATGATATGGTTTTAATTAAGTCTCAATATGATGAGAGACAATGATAGAAGAACCGAACAGCGCACTGTCAACAGTACGTTACAGTACGAGCCTAAATTGACAACACATTGTTTCATACTGAGTAGATCTTTGTTAAGTTATTACTTAAATTCTACTCAGTGCGAAACATTGTCCCTAAAAAGCTGTTTGGAGCTTGCTACACCTTTAAGTTGCTGGACACATAATTCGCCTCTCCTTCACCTGTTATGGAACTTGGTGCACCATCAAGTTGTTGGACCAGGATAACACGTGCCCCCTCACCTGCTCTTGTTCCTGCTGAACCTACCAGGTGTTGGACCAGGATAACACGTGCCCCCTCACCTGCTCTTGTTCCTGCTGAACCTACCAGGTGTTGGACCAGGATAACACGTGCCCCCTCACCTGCTCTTGCACGTGCTGTACTTCCCAGGGGTTGGACCAGGCTAACACGTCACCTTCAAGGTCGACCTCACACCGAGACACACTCTGGATTTGCTCTTGGCTGAGGACTCGACCCCACACATTAACTTGACTCAGCTTCCCGCTGTATGAATACTGAGACTGGGTAAGGAGAGAGAAATTAACTTTAATTGCGACAAAACTATGGACAATGATCATGACACGTGAAGTGTTCAGAAAAAAAGATTGTATCAAGTACTTAATTAAGAACGTTAAGTTTCTTTCCCATCAATTTTCTGATTACGGAAAATTGGAAGAAAAGTGATGTAAAAAGACGATGGCGTTCGAAATGTGGAAAGGTACGAAAAAGGCAGAAACCAAAACCAGACAAATAAAATGCAAAGTAGTTAGATATATGTCAAAAAAAATCAAAGAAATTATTCAGAAACAAAATAAACCAGATTAATTTTTTCATGTAATGTCTAAGGGTTTTATGAGGTAACGTTGGGTTTAAGGCAAGTCGTGTATCACCACACCCAGTTAATGGGGGTTTGAAGTCTCTCCACCACACGAGGGTCATTAAGGCTGCAAGTTGCCTGTTCACCACCAGTGAAGAATATTATAATCCTAAAATAGGGATAAAGGTATAACCTATGCATATACACTGATATAAATACACTTTTCAGTGAATATACACTGGTCTGCATACATGCACATCTAGGTGTATATACACCGACAGACATACACCTCTGGTGTATATACATTAAGCTACAAAAGAAAAAATCTTAAAAGGCCTTTAAATTTAGATTTTAAATAGGCCTCAGAACAATAATGTAAAAAAAATAACAATGATACCAAATAAAATAATAATAATAATAATAATAATAATAATAATAATAATAATTAATCTTAATATCTATGCAGCTTGACGTTCCCCCAAGAAAGCAGGAACGATACACAAATTTTTAACTTATCACATTGGTTACATTAAATAATGTTTAACATATCCTGATATGATTTATTTTGCAAGGAGTTATCTCCCATGCAATGGAATGAAATCTCATCCATATATAACACCTGTATTCTCCCTAATCTTACTCATGTATGACACCTGTGTTGTCCCTAATCTCAGCCATATATCACACCTGTGATCTCCCTAATCTCACCCATATATTACACCTGTGTTCTCCCTAACATCACCCATATATCACATCTGTGTTGTCTCTAGTCTCAGCCATATATCCCACCTGGTATTTCTCCTTGAACTGATCCTGGCCGATGACAACATCCCTGGGTTTGGGGTCCGCCAAGAAGTTTACTTTCTCCCTGACGATGAGTTCCCCGTCCAGGTAGACGCGCCCCTCACCTCCTGTCATGTCTCGTACCTGCTCCACGGAAGAACTGGGCTGACACGCAGGAAACACATGTAGCAGGTAGAGAAACTGAGACATGGGGATGAAGGGGGAGATAGAAGAGGAATGTGTAGACACTGACAGAGAGACAAAAAAGGGAATGAATAATGGTAAAATCTTTGGAGATACGAACATAAGAGCAACAGGACGTAAATACTTGCCTGTAAACCTATAAACCACAGAATAAGGACAATCAGGAATATATATATATATATATATATATATATATATATATATATATATATATATATATATATATATATATATATATATATATATATAAATGGTTTAGAAAGGCACGTAAGCAAACGCTATGACATATTTATTAGAAAGCGTTTCGGTCCTGGGACCTTGATCACTTCTAACATACAGAGGTAGAAAGACATTATATATATAGGCGAAGAGTGAGGTGTGAGTGACGCACGTGACCTGAAGAATGTCATGGTGAGAAGAGGACGGGTAGACGATGAAATCATGTGACTCCTGTGTTGTTGGGTTGGTGGTGCTTAAGTATCATGTATGCCAATGTTTTTGAAATTTTGTAATTTCCAGTGTTGCGTTCTATAGTGTCGGTGACGGCGATTAGTGAGGCTTCTAGGCACCGTCGGCGTCTGAGGTCTGGTTCTGTGAGAACGAGTTGTGCCTCATTCCAGTTCATCAAATGCCCCGTGGAGTCTCTGTGGAGGACACAGGCGCACCTTACATCGTCTCTGTTAGAGGCATTTCGATGCACATTCAGGCGGACTGCAAGATCTCTGCCTGTCTCGCCTACATATTTCTTGGGACAGATCCCACAGGGGATAGTGTAGACGCCTACTGTAGAAGTTAGAGGCGTGGGGCTGCGTTTCGTAGTGAGGTCTTTGATAGATGATGTGTTTATGGTGGAAACGTTGATGTTACTCATAGCAAGTGCCCGGCGAGTATTCGTGGCAACATCACCACACGGGAGCACTATGAACTGCTTAGGGGGCTGTTCCATGGCGGTTTGTTGAGGATAGTTTGTGCCTTGAGTCTACAATCTCGGATGAAGAAAGATGGGAACTGAAGACGTGTAAAGGTTTGTGTTATGTAAGTGCATTCTTCTTCTAGAAAACAAGGGCTGGAGATGCGAAGAGCTCTCAAGAAGAAGCCAATGAGGACTCCTCTCTTAGTGCGGGTGTCTTGGTGTGAATAAAAGTGTATAAGATCGTCCTTGTTGGTAGGTTTTCTATACACTTTGAAGAGAAGTTTGTCACTGTCGGGAGATCTGCACAGAAGGACGTCCAGGAAAGGAAGTTTCCCATCGTTTTCGAGTTCAAGTGTAAACTTTATTGATGGTTCGGCTGCATTGATCTTGTTGAGAAGAGCCGGGATATTGAGACGTCTCGGATAGAAAACCAATATATCATCAACGTATCTTAGCCAGGTAACGGTGTTGGGAATGAGGGTGCTGAATTTCTCTGTCTCCAGGTTTTCCATGAAGAGGTTGGCAAGCACAGCACTGAGCGGGCTGCCCATTGCCATCCCAAAGCAATGTTTGTGACAGTTGTCCTGATACTTGAAGAAGTTGAAATTAACACAAAGATCCACTAGACTGATGAAATCTAGAAGAGGTAAAGGGAGGTCGTGGTTTTCAGTGAGCCTCTGTCTCAGAATGTTGATTGCAGCGTCAGTAGGAACGTTGGTAAAGAGGGCTGTAACATCGAAGGAAGCCATGCTTTTGTTTTTAACATTCAGGTTGGAAATTCGGGAGAGAAGGTCACCTGAGTGTTTGAGGTGGGCTTGACTGATGGTGCCCAGAAGTGCTGAAAGGTATTTGGCAAGGTGGCCGGCTAGTCTGTGTGGTGCACTCCCTATGCCCGAAGTGATAGGCCGTAGTGGGATGCCAGGTTTGTGTGTCTTAGGAAGGCCATACAGTCGTGCAGGTTTCGGTTGACCTGGTAAAAGTTTAAGTAGTTTTTAGCCTTGTTCTGATTTTCGTAAGATGCTACGAGCCTTTTGAAGAAAAGTCTGGGTACTTTGAAGTAGCACTGATTCTGATACAGGCTGGTATGTGCTGACATCGTTGAGAAGATTTAATTAAAACTTTATTGTTGTAGTCGACAGTGTTGAGTAACACCACACCACCTGATTTGTCAGCGGTTGTAATGACGATATCATCGTTGTTGGCCAAGTCCCTGAGTGCTTGGATATATCTTCTGGGAATGACCGGTCTTGAAGGCTCAGTAGCTGCAGCTACAGGCTTTGTTCAAGGAATTATCACTGCTGCAGCTACTGAGCCTTTAAGACCGGTCATTCCCAGAAGATACATCCAAGCACTCAGGGACTTGGCATATATGATACTTAAGCACCACCAACCCAACAACACAGGAGTCACATGATTTCATCGTCTACCCGTCCTCATCCCAACATGACATTCCTCAGGTCACGTACGTCACTCACACCTCACTCTCCGCCTATATATATAATGTCTTTCTACCTCTGTATGTTAGAAGTGATCAAGGTCCCAGGACCGAAACGTTTTCTAATAAATATGTCATAGTGTTTGCTTACGTGTCTTTCTAAACCAACTTGTCGGTATTTATTACTAAGGTTTATACCATATATATATATATATATATATATATATATTTTATATATATATATATATATATATATATATATATATATATATATATATATATATATATAGGTACCACCTCTAGAACTGGACTGGGGACCCTCATCTTCAGAGAAGACAATAAACGTACCTCATGGAAAACTCAAGGTTCTCCCCGGAGCTGTTTGAATATTTTCTTCTACCACCCCCTATATTTTTAAGCTACATGTGAACTTTATTAATAGACAGAATACATTGGTAGAAAACACAAACATGAATAGATTGGTACAAGATATCAAAGATTATGAATCTCCTCCAGCTCCTCCGAAGCCGGACGCGAGCCCAGTATGTAGCAAGCATTTCCCCTCTGGATGGCCATGCTGAGGCGCTGGAACATGAAAGCGGCTGCCCTTGGGTCCCTGGTGGTGTCGATGAGTCTGGAACCCAGTTCTTTAAGGAAACGTGTGGCATGTTTTCCCCATGATCCCAAGGTCTCTGATCCCACTGGGACAAATTGATATTGTTGGCTTATGTTCCTGTACTTGCCGAACTTGTACTTCTCCCTGTGGTCAGCAGCTCCTCCCTGTCAACCGACACTGTGATGGATATAGGTGTCCGCCAGTGTGGACACCCAGGTATAGTCCCATACTAAGAGCTTGCCATTCTTCCAAGGATAGATGATGATCCCGTTGGGGCGGTTTGCTGGGTTGTGGGTATTGTTGGCTGCTAGTGATCGGAGCTCCCTCTCGGCTGGGCATCCAGCTGTAGCAAGGGTTCTCTTTATGATGTCGTTGACCTCATTGTGTCTTGCATGCCACCCCTGGGTTTTGGAACAGTTAAGACTATATAGACCATATTGGTCGGCTTGTGCATCGCGGCAAATACACGTATATTCCGTGTGAATATATATATATATATATATATATATATATATATATATATATATATATATATATATATATATATATATATATATATATATGTGTGTGTGTGTAAGGCACCTAGGTAGTAGGTTGGTAGACAGCACCCGCCCAGGGAGGTACTACCGCCCTGCCAAGTGAGTGTAAAATAGAAGCCTGTAATTGTTTTACATGATGGTAGGATTGCTGGTGTCTTTTTCTGTCTCATAAACATGCAAGATTTCAGGTATGTCTTGCTACTTCTGCTCACACTTAGGTCACACTACACATACATGTACAAGCATATATATATATATATATAAATATATATATATTATATATATATATATATATATATATATATATATTATATATATATATATATAATATTATATATATAAAACCCCTCTGGATTTTCTCCTGTTTTCTTTCTAGTTCTTGTTCTTGTTTATTTCCTCTTATCTCCATGGGGAAGTGGAACAGAATTCTTCCTCCGTAAGCCATGCGTGTTGTAAAAGGCAACTAAAATGCCGGGAGCAAGGGGCTAGTAACCCCTTCTCCTGTATATATTACTAAATGTAAAAGGAGAAATTTTCGTTTTTCCTTTTGGGCCACCCTGCCTCGGTGGGATATGGCCAGTTTGTTGAAAGAAAGAAATATATAAGGCTGACTAAGGAAGATGGCAGAAGCAGTGGAGGTAGTAATAATTGAGGTAAATTACATTTCAATCAGATGAAGAAATTAGGTAACTTCATCTTCTATACACATCCTAAAGGGGCACAATGAAAACAGAGAATCATTGAGTTTGACCTCCTGACCCATGCTAGGAAAGAAGGAAGTCACTAAGGCGAAAGTCAGACGGGAAAAGTGAAGAAACTACAGAACTCCGTTCGAAAAAAAAAGTGGTGAGAAGGCAATGGTCAAGTAAAATCACTAGTGTTCTGAAGATTAGAGCATTTGACAAGGCAATTACAAAGGGTTGACATCTACAGAAGCAAAATCCGGAGTAGGAGTGTTGTGTATGAGGGCCGATCCTAGTAGACGGCGTCGGTGAAGACTAGAAGAGGAGTTGCTAACTCTAACTGAGGATCAGTTTATTAAGTGGCTGTGATATTAGACGTAAAAGAAAAAAGCCTTGGTATAGTCAGGAAGGCGAATACTATACTCGTGTTCTTTAAGACTATAGGAGAGAGTTCAGTTTCTCAAATGCAATGGAGGAAAGAGGAACAGGAAATGAAGAAGACACCAGAACTCAAGTCCGGCTAATAGTATTTAGTGAAAAAAATTGTGAATTCGTTTCCTTTGTTTTTCTGGTCACCCAATCCCGGCGGACGGCCGGTGCGTCAAAAAAGAAAGTTGTACCATCCGCAAAGCGTACTGATTTAAGTTCCTAGGTAGCATTTGATAAGTCGGTGAACGAAAGTTGGAAAACTAGCGGAGCGAAGATGTATGTTTGATGTACACCAGTGATTACTATTACAGTTGAAGAAGAAATAATGTTTAAAGTCACATTTTGGTGTCCGTCATTGAGGTCGTCATAGGTATGTATATTATAAACATAAATGAAGATTAAGGGACTTGCTACATCCTTCGAGCTGTTCCCTTTACCCCTCGGAGCTCTCGTCCACCAACGCACTTTAAATTAAAATTAGCGCAACCTTATTATGTCACACTCGCTTCCGTTGCAGTAGAATTAAGTCTGTGGTGAAAGTCCCAAGTGACTCCAGTAACAGCAGCAGCTGCAACACCAACAAAAGCAGCAGTGGCAGCAGCAGCTACTGCTGCTGCTGTTACTGCCCCGGTTCTCACCTGGCAGTAGTGATACCATTTATTGGTACCCAGGTTCGCTGGTAGCGGGTAAAACCGGCCTCGACCTCCGAACTTGGTGCGGATCTTCTCAAAGTACACCTCGAAGGAGATAGCTGTATGAGAGAGAGAGCAGGAGAAAGTGCGTAAGGCAGTTCCTGCCTTGGAACTAGTGTACTCTTTTTAAAATAAAACTTAAACCATCAATTTGTATGAGCGTCAGTATATATTAAAAACAAACAAGAGTAGCTTTACACACACACATCATCCACACCACTTCAAGTTTTGTCCTGCCAACTCTTTCTCGGCACGCAATGACCACGTCATTCATCATCTCCTGGTGGAGGCTACAGCGCTTCCTGCAGCAGTACACTTACGGTCTTCATCGTAGTTCGTCGCCGTCAGGAAGTAGATGACGGCGTTGAGGATGCGGAAGAGGTGAACATTGAAGCGGAGGCAGAGGGTGTAGTCTCTGACCATGCGCACTACCTTTGTGTACTTCATCAAAGTAGTTCCTCTCTCAGCCCCGTCACCGTTGAAAGTCACGACCCGGACGTTGCTTCCTCCTGCCTCTACTCCTACTTCTGCTGCTGTAGGCGCGTGTGCATCAACGTCACCATTTGCTCCTGAAGAAGAGCTAGTAAACGTTAAATATCTGTCTAGTATCGACTTCTGCTGCGCCATCTACAGACAGAGCTTAGTAAAATCACTGATTACAACTTTTAAACTATAATATGCGTGGAAAACAAACTTGGAGTTCTACATAATAAATCTACTACTGCAGTGGTTGGATAATGAAGCTGCTACTGTGATGGTTGAATAATGAATCTGCTACTGTAGTGGTTGGATAATGAAGTTGCTACTGTAATTTTGAATAATGAGCGCTACTGTAATTTTTGAAAATGAACGCTACTGTAATGGTTGAATAATAAGCTGCTACTGTAATTTGCTAATATGCCTGCTACTGTAATTTTTGATAAGAACTGCAGCTGTAATGGTTTGAATAATGAAGTGTACGTATGTTGGTATGAAGTGCTACTGTAATGGTTGGATAAGAAGCTGCTACGTAGTGGTTGAAATAATGAAGCTCACTGTAATGGTTGGATAAGAAGCTATGTAAGTTGGATAATGAAGCTGCTACTGTAGTGGTTGATATGAAGCTGCCTATGTAATGGTTGAACAATGAAGCTGCTCTGTAAGGTTGGTATGAAGCTGCTACTGTATGGTAACAATGAGTGCTACTGTAATGGTTGAACAATGAAGCTGCTACTGTAATGGTTGGATAATGAAGCTGCTACTGTAATGGTTGAACAATGAAGCTGCTACTGTAATGGTTGGATAATGAAGCTGCTACTGTAGTGGTTGAATAATGAAGCTGCTACTGTAATGGTTGACAATGAAGCTCTTGTATGGTGTAATGAAGCTGCTACTGTAATTGTTGAACAATGAAGTGCTACTGTAATGGTTGAACAATGAAGATGCTACTGTAATGGTTGACAATGAAGCTGTACGTAATGGTTGGTAATGAAGTGCTACTGTAATGGCTGAAAATGAAACTGCTACTTATGTGGTTGAATAATGAAGCTGCTATGTATGGTTGAACAATGAAGTGCTACTGTAATGGTTGAATAAGCTGCTACTGTAAGTTGAACAATGACTAGCTGCTCTTAATGCCTAAGATACTCTACTGTAATGGTTGAACAATGAAGTTTACTGTAGTGTTGAATAATAAACTGCTACTGTAAATGTGTTGAACAATCAAGCGCTACTTTTGGTTTGAACAATTATGCTACTGTAATGGTTGGTAATGAAGCTGCTACTGTAATGGTTGGCATTGAATGTCTTTTTGAACAATGAAGCTGCTACTTGTAATGGTTTGAACAATGAAGCTGATACTGTATGGTTGGATAATGAAGCTGCTACTGTAATGTTGGTAATAACTGCTACTGTAATGTGTTGAACAAATGAGTGCTACTTGTAATGTTGAACAATGAAGCTGCTATGTAATGGTTGGATAATGAAGCTCTACAAAAGGTTGATAATACTCTACTGTAATTGTTTACATTTCCACTGTATTGGGTTTTATAATAAGCTCCCCTTGATAATTTTTTGAAAATGAACTGCTCATGTAATGGTTTGAACAATGAAGCTCTCTTGTACATGTTTGAACAATGAAGCTGCTTACTGTATTTTCAATGAACTGCTACTGTAATGGTTGAACACTGAAGCTGCTACTGTAATGTTGGATAATGAAGCTGCATTGTCATGGTTGGATAATATGCTCATTTTTTGGTGAACAATAATGCTCTCTTAATGGTTAAAACCTTAACTCTCCTGGTGGTTAATTTGAACCACTTTTCTTACTGAAACTCTATGAAAGGTTGAAAAATGGCCCTATAACATGTATTTTATAAAGTCTTTTTTAAATAATATGTCTTTGGAAATATTGTTATTTATTTTTTTTTTTAAAATGATTAACTTACTAAATTTTATACAAGAACTTCTACTAAAGGGGTTTTTTAACTGGCCAAACTTACTACCAAATTTAAAATCTCCCACTTTTGTTTTAAATTATTTATAAAGGCCTTATTTCACATAATCCCAAATTCCTTCTCCTGTCAACCTTCATGTACCTACACCATTAACCATTCTCATCAAAACCCAAAATTTAACACAATCTTGGGTACACATTCTAATTCCTCTCCTCCCCAAAGCTGCTTAACACATGAACCTACCCTGCTTAAATTCTAATACCCAAAATCCATTTTTCCCCCAATCCACCCCCACTTTTTAAAAAATTTTCGAAACCCCTAAAAATAATTTTTAAAATACCCCAAATTTTGACCCCTTTTAAACCCTTAGTTTATTAAACTTTTTAATTTCCCAACCCCCTTTTTTGTTTATAAATTACCTCTTTTTATTTCCCCCCCTTGTAATTTATTTTCCCCCCGTTAAAAAAAATGACTGTATTTGGCCCCCTAAACTATTAAGTTAAAAAGTCTTTTAAATTTTAAAAAAAACCAAAAAATTTGGCCCCCCCCCCTTTAAATTTTTAAATTTCCCCTTTTTTTTAAAAATGATCCTATAATAAATTTCTAAAAATTAACAAAGGGTCCCTATTTTTAATGGACCCCAAAATTATAAAAAATTTTAAAAATTTTTTTTACATTAAACCCTAACAATTACTCTCCATGGTTTAAACCCTTCTTTAAAAAAATTTTTCCCCCTTCCCCTTTTTTTTTTAACCCCCCCTTTAAATTTGGGAATTGCATCACTTTACTTTTAACAATAATTCTTGTAATTTAACATTAATTCTCTTTTTTTAAAAATGAACTACTTTAATTCTGAAACCCCCCCTGCTTAACTTTAATATGATTTTTTCCCTTTTTTTTGAAACTAACCCCTTACTTTGGTTGGTAAGAAGCTCCCACTTTATTATAAAAAGCATACTGTTTTTGAACGAAACTCACGAATTTATAAGAAGCTGTTATTAAAGGTTCTACTCTCTGTTTTGGTTAAATAAAGGGGTTGGAAAGACATTCTCCCGGCATTTTGCTTTACACAGCTGGCCTTTCAAGGGAAAAACCTTTTTCCCTCTTCCTACAATGGAAATAAAAAACGACATTTAAAGGGAACTACAATGTAAATAATATTGAATACCTGTAACACCAAAGTGAATAATGCAAATACCCTGAAAATACTTGACAAAAAAACAGCCAAAACCCACCACATGCAAAAATACATTCACACACATGGAAACTAATCTTCCCCTTGGTGCCTACCAACCCACCAACCTATGGATGTTCAAAAAAACTAACCCTTTTGTAATACACGATTTTTCAAAAATTTTTGGGAAAAGTGAAGGCAATAAATATCAAATTTAGTAACCAAAAGTTTCAAATAATGGCCTAGGCGACCAACAATTACACCGGGGGTTTAAAAACTTTTTTAAGAAGTAATTAATTAATTCCTTTTTTGGGTTCAATAACTATTAAAAAAACTAGGGGTTTTAAAAAAATACATTGCAAAGGACAAACACTAATTAAACAATTTAAAATTAGATTCAAGGGGGAAAAGACCCGAGGTAAATTTGGGTTGAAAAGGGAAGTAAATAATTTACCAAGAGGAAAACCATCCCCCTCCAAAGTTTAGCCGGTCTGGGTAAAAAGATAAAACCTAAAACCAAATTTGTTTACCATGTTTAAACTGAGCACCTTACAATGGGACCATTAAAGCTAAAGGGTTCCAGATAAGGTGAAAAGGAGGCTACAGGAGGCAGGGAAAAAATTTTGCCCCTTGGAATTATAAGTTAAAAGGTTTATTAATTTACGCAGGGTCCCCCGTGCAGGGGTAGACCAACCGCAAAAACGGGATATATATATTTAATAATTACTTCAAGAAGATCACTTGAAATGGGACGAAGTAAATGCTTTAAAAAGATGCAATAATTTCCTAGGGCCTATGAAGTATATATATATATATATATATATATATATTATATATATATATTATATATATATAATATTATATATTATATATATATATATATTATATATATATATATATATATATATAGATAGATAGATATAAATTGCTGATATGCAAACAAAATCTTATCGACCAGGTCTTTGTAATATCTCAGCGATATTTGGCAACAAATTTTATGCGTTGATGATACTGAATGAAGACAAATGAGTTTAAACATCTTATTAAAGTTTAACCCAAAGACAAGTTCCTGGCAGACTCGACCAGTCGCCTCGTAGACGACCCACTTAACATTACGACCAGCAGTAAGTCTCTCTCTAATAAGAATAAATATTATATTCCATTTGAAAGGCAAGTGATTATTAAATTTCTATTGATTTAATACCTTAGTTTAGAAAATAATCCACGACTTCGGAGAAGAGTCAAACAGCTGATTATTTCAATTAACATTAGATTCAAGGGGAGGAAATGCTGAACCCGTAGGGGTCATACGGTGCCTGTATAATGGGAAGTAAATAGGTTTAATCCAAAGAAGGAAAAGCTGTATACAGTTCCATGTATCAAGGCCGCATAACCCTTTTGGGTTTAGTTATGATAATAACTAAACCCAAAAGGGTTTAATAATAATAATAATCCATGTATTAAGAGTCTTCCACCATTATCAAGGGACTCCACTTGAAGAGCAAAGGTTCCAGGAATAAGGTACCAGAGAAAGGCAGGACCTGAATACGAGGTTCAGAAAAAGGTTATATATCGCCGGCTTGAGAATGATTAGTTAATCAGGTTTGAGTCTATCGACTAGACGAGGGTTGTAAAGGCTACGTGTCTCCTGTACACCATCCGTCAAAGACGAGAATACTTATATCCTTAAATTATTGACTAAATGAAAGCGTTGACGTATGTACATCGAAAGATATACCTAATCTCTCGAGTATATTCTCTTCTGAAGGCTGTGCTGTATTGCCTTGGACCCCTGAGTTCAAGCAAATTAAGAATGATGAACGAGCAGTGCCGGGAGGACGGCTGGTGGGAGGACGGCTGGTGGGAGGACGGCTGGTGGGAGGACGGCTGGTGGGAGGACGGGTGCTGGGATGTCGGGTGCTGGGAGGACGGGTGCTGGGAGGACGGTGCTGGGATGTCGGGTGCTGGGAGGACGGGTGCTGGGAGGACGGCTGGTGGGAGAACGGCTGGTGGGAGGACGGGTGCTGGGAGGACGGGTGCTGGGAGGACGTCTGGTGGGAGGTCGGGTGCTAGGAGGTCGGGTGCTGGGAGGAAGGGAAGCTGAGTGATCGATCT